TTATATATATATGCTATTTCATATTAGCAATTAACCAATTCAGAATGTAGTGAATTGCATTTTAATATGTGTAAGCTTTGGCTTGCCTGTGCTGTCGTTGAGAATTAACAATCAAGCAACTTTAAAAAAAAAATACTGCTTTCTGGCCAGGTTTCTTCTAAATATATTCCTTGGAAAGATTCATGTACACCGTCGCATTCTGTCAAAACACTACAATGCTGGCTGACTACCCACCCTCTGGCAAATTCATAGATGTCAGTATGGAAACATCAACAGCTCTGTGAGATTTGACCAAGGCTAGAGGAAATTTCAAAGAGCTAAGAGAAAATGTTTATGGCAGCATTGGAAAAATCCCAGAAGCTTCATTGTCTGGTGCCTAAGAGTCTGTTGGTAACACCTAGGGATCCTAGGATACCTAGATTTTAATTTATTTACTTGTTTATTTTACCCAACCCCAAGTAACATTAGAAAGAGAAAACCCAGGACTGATTGTAAGAAGGTTAAATCCAACATCTAGGAATTTAAAGTGTTGTTTTTTGGTTTTTTAAAAAGGGCTTCTTGATGAAGCAATTCTTGGTAAAATGGTACAAAGTTCTTCAAAAATGATATTTGTGGAAAATATTTTGTTCTTCACACTAAATACCTTCACATTCACACATTATAAATATAGTATTAAGATACAGTTCAACACTCACCCTCTTTTTAAACAAGGTAAAGGGTGACATGTTCTACATGTACAGAAGGCCCTGTACTTTTGCTGAGTTTAGTGATCTATGAAAGTGGAAAACACATGGATTTAATGGGTTGTTGTAGGTTTTTTCACGCTATATGGCCATGTTCTAGAGGCATTCTCTCCTGACGTTTTGCCTGCATCTATGGCAAGCATCCTCTGAGGTAGTGAGGTCTGTTGGAACTAGGAAAATGGGTTTATATATCTGTGGAAAGACCAGAGTGGGACAAAGGACTATTTTCTGCTGGAGCTAGGTGTGAATGTTTCAACTGACCACATGGATTTAAAATCTGCTTTTTTTTACCTACAAGCACTCCTCACTAGGAATCTTTAGGTCTTCCAGTGTGACTCCTTCGGGTATTTTGGACTTCAACTCCCACAATTCCTAACAGCCTACCGGCTGGGAGTTGAAATCCAAAACACCTGGAAGGCTAAAGTTTCCCCATGCCTGGACCATATGGTCACCTTTTCCTGCAAGTTGACCACAGAGTGAAGAATTTAGAAAGTTAGAACAGTCTAAAACCATGCATGTGCAATCTGTCCCTGGGTTACGAACTAGATACATTCTGTAGGCTTGTTCTTAAGTTGAATTTGTATGTAAGTTGGAACAGGTGAATTTTTAAGTGTAAATTCAGCTGGATATTTTTAAAAATGGATAGTATAGAGAAGGGTTGACACCCTGTAACCCTGTTCAAACAATTTCACCTCACTTTCTATCCCTGTGATTGGATATTGATAATTAAAATATACATATGCTTATGATTTGAAGGAGAATTGGTGCAAAATGATGTACCAATGGTATATGACACCCGCGCAAAAAATTGGCCAAATGCTGTAAAAAACACAAAATAAATGATGGAAATGTGAATCCCATGTGGGCTCTTTTTACCACACGTGGTGGTCTTGTGGAGAAACAAAGAAATATTGGAAGGGGATACAAGAGAACATTAAAAAAATATTGGACATCAAAATACAGATGAAACAAAAATACTTTTTGCTAGAAATAACTGATATGGAAATGGATAAAAATAAAGATAAATTATTCAACTATTTTTGTAATGGTTGCAAGAATAGTCTACGCAAGGAATCAGAGAAATAAAAATACACCTTTAACTGATCAGTGAATGATAAACATTATGGAAATCATGAATATGGACGGAATAACTCAGCTATCAAGAGAAAGCTCAAGGCTCACCCAAGAAGGTCACGGACTGGCTACCTTTGAGAGAATATATGAAATGAGAAAAGATGAGAACAATAATATGAAAGATTTGTCTTACAGGAATGTAGAGTGACAGGAAACGGCAAATAAATCAGTGAACTAAGGACAATAATTGACCACAATAAAGAAGATTGGAAGTAAAAAAACTCCCCCCCCCATTTACACATCCCCTTTCCCTTCTTTCCTTTTGTTGACAGCTCTTGTTCTTCTAGATTCCTTCTTTTATCCCACCTTGCTATTTTATAATATTGCAAATTTTTGATTTTAATGAATAAAATTTATCTTTTAAAAAAAGAAAAAGAAAGAAAATTTTGTGTTGTCATGGAAACTAGAATTGGTGTTAAAGCTTTGGTGAAGACACATTTTTTCCCATGATAATTCTCACAGGAATGAATTTTCCTTCCTAGGGGCAGATTTCCTCTCACCTCCTGTGGTCTCATCCTCAGCCCCAAAGGTTTGTATACAGGAGTCGGATGTAAGTCAGGTGTTTGTAACTCGAAGACTGCCCTGTATACAGATCTGGATGAAAACACTGCACTCTAAAGACTTTCAAAAAAAGTTTTAATTTGGTGCCAGAATTAAACCAATACTGGTGCCAACTGGGGCCCCAACAGGAGGGTATTGCATAACTAGGTTGCCACAACAAAAAAGGTCCTCTTCAATTTCCCTCATTCCACGTTCCTCCCATTGTGGGTTGAGAGATGAGGCTACTTCTAACAGACAAACAAAGGGAAAGGACTTATATAGGTATCTATTTTTAAGTCTCTTAGGCTTCATATATGTCCAGAATTGTTTAAATCATGTTCATACAATGAATACCAAGACATGAAATCAACAAACAAGACCAAAGTGCAGAACTCCTTCCATTCGTGCACCCCAGCAAATGATATCAAGCCACACACTTCCTCTGATCCATAAAACAACCACAATAAAATTGCTATTAACAGTCTTATCTTGCATTAACTTCTCCAATTGTCCCTCACAGCCAACTGGGATGGCCTGCTACATGTCAAGATAGAAAACTTCATAATTTGATGATGCCACAGAAAGAGAACTTGTAGAAGCAAAATCTTTGTTAATGTATTTTTATATCTGTATTATCATAATATTTATTTATTTATTTATTTATTATTTAAACTTATATGCCGCCACTCCCCTGGGGCTCGGAGCGGCTTACAAGAATAGCTAAAATCTAACAAAGTTTAAAAGCAATTTAAAACAATTTAAAAACAACAGTATCAAACATTAAAAGCCTGTCGAAACAGGTATGTCTTACATGCCCTGCGGAAAGCTGGTAAGTCCCGCAGGGCACGAACTTCAGGTGGCAGAGCATTCCAGACTGATGGCGCCACTGCTGTGAAGGCTCTGCGTCTGGTTGCCATTAGATACAAGGTCTTGACACTGGGGACTTCCAATAGATCTTGGTCCTCAGAACGGAGGGATCTCTGGGGTTGGTAGGGGGTGAGACGATCCCTCAGATACATTGGCCCCAGACCATGCAAGGCCTTAAAGGTGAGTACCATCACTTTGAAAGTGATCCGGTGCTCAATTGGTAACCAATGCAGCTGTAGTAAGATTGGTGTTATGTGGCATCTCATCGGAATTCCCGCAAGAAGCCGAGCAGCTGCGTTTTGTACCAACTTGAGCTTCCGAATCACCGACAGAGGGAGGCCAATGTAGAGGGCGTTACAGTAGTCCAGTCTTGAGATGACCGTGGCCTGGATCACCGTAGCTAGGTCGTTCCTGGACAGGTAGGGGGCCAACCGTCTAGCCTGCCGCAGGTGAAAGAAGGCCGTTCTGCTCACGGCGGAGATCTGGGCCTCCATTGTCAGCAGAGGGTCCAAAAGGACTCCCAGACTCTTTACCAATGATGACAGGCGTAACGCCTCGCCATCCAGGGTGGGCAGATGGATGTCCCCACTGCCCGGTCCACCCAGCCATAGGATCTCCGTCTTTGCTGGATTCACCCTCAACCTGCTGGCACGCAGCCATCCAGTAACGGCCTCGAGGCACTGATGGAAACAATCGGGTACAGAGTCCGGTCGGCCTTCCATCTTCAGCACCAGCTGAGTGTCATCGGCATACTGATAACACTCAAGCCCAAAACCTCGAACCAGCTGAGCAAGTGGTCGCATATAGATGTTAAACAACAGAGGGGAGAGAATGGCCCCCTGAGGAACCCCACAAGATAGAGGGGACCTCTCAGAGACCAAGCCTCCCCTCTCCACTCGCTGTCCACGGTTGTGAAGAAAGGAGGACAGCCAATTTAAAGCTGTCCCCCTGACTCCAGCAACAGCAAGGCGGTGGGTCAAGAGATTGTGTATTTATGCTGTTTTTATGCTTTTAAGATGTGTATTTATGCTTGTTTTACTCTGTTGTTTGCACTGTTCTGTGCCGGTTGGTAGCTGTCTGGAGTTCCTCTGCGGAGGTTGAGAAAGGACGGGATATAAATGCCCTAAACAAATAAATAAAAGCTACAAGACGGAGAAGAGGGAGAGGAGACTTCACTATAAAGTCCTTCATCTCTCATGTCCTGCTTACTGCCTCCCCCACCACCACCAGCACCAGCACCACCAGCACCAGCACCACCACCAAATCAGGAAGGCAGGTAGATTTGAGAAACTATCGATTTATTTATTTCTTGATTTATGTAATATTCTGCCTTTCTCCCAATATGGGAACTAAGGTGCCTTACTGTGTTACTATTCTATATTTGGTTGGTGACTGGAGACAACATAGGGATTCTTGCCTTGTCCTTCTTTGTAGGAGAGATGAATGGTTAGCTTCTCCCATCTCACTGGGAGGTTTCACTTTCATGAAAGAATGAGACATTTGAGTCATGATTTTTAGAAAAAAAATTGATAGTAGTGAAAATGCATGCTCTGTTCTTTTTTGACATCCGGCTAAAATGGTATTTATATATGCAGACCCACATGCCTAACAAACTATCTTCTCACACAGAATTTTAATCCAACTTTTCTCAAATGCAGTATTTCAAAATCCAGCCTTACATCTGATATTCATGGCTAAGAAGGAAGATTTTTTTACCTGGTTTACAGGGAGGCCAACTGCTGTCTATTTCATTAAGTTCTTCTGTCTCCAGTTGTCTGTATTTTGCGACATATTCAATGCCAGTACTCTTCTTTTTAGATATCCTAGGAATAGGAAGAGGAGACAAATTTTTATTCTATAAACTAAAAAAACATAAACAAGAACAGAACATACCTTCTTGAGAACCCACTAAAAATAATCCTAAATACAGTCATCCCTTTCCGTTTGCTATGATTAGGGTGGAGAACTCCTGGGAAAGTAATGCCATTGATAAATTTGACGTATGGTTTGAATGAAATTGATGAAAGGTGTATAAATGGCATCTCAATGGGCTGAAGATACCATCTTAAGGAATAAAGCCTGGAAAACAACTATAATTCATGGACTGTAATTAAAAGTTGCTGATGAGAACTGTGACAATGATTAACTGTTGTTGACTTAATGAACTCTTGGTGGAAAAACAACTTGTTTACATTATTCAGAGACAATGACTCTTTTAAGCTAAGGATGTTAAGAAGGAAGTAAACACACAGTTGCTTGCTTTACCAATACCAATGACAAAGAGTCAACGCCTGTCCGGAAACTGAGCTGTTATGTTATAACCTGTGTTTATCTTGTATTACTTTCTTTTGTTATATTTTATTGTATTTTATTTGATTTATTATTGTATGACTGTATGTTTGGTTTTATGTAATTATTTAATCTGTATTTTAATGTGTTTTAATGTATTAACGTATTAAGATATTAATATGTTTTAGCTTATTTGTGTATGAATTTCCTGTTGTTAGCTGGCCTGAGTCCCTCTTCGGAGGTTGAGAAGCTCTAAAATAAATAATAATAAATAATTGTATTCTTTTTGCCTTGTTGTAATTGTTGGGCTTGGCCTCATGTTAGCCCCCCCCCCCCCCCGAGTCCCCTTGGGGAGATGGTGGCGGGGTATAAATAAAGTTATTAGTATTATTTTACTGACACAAGAGCACAGTATGTCACAGCAAAAGAGATCTTTATGCTGGATTTCGTATCACAAAATCACAAGTTGAACACTTCCCAAGCGTCCAGGACTGTGAGATGTATTTTCGAATGATGCACACAGATCCAAGTAAGGTGGCCTTTTGCAGTTGACAGATTGTGATTTTGTCAATGTTTATTGTTTCCAAATGCCGGCTCAGATTTTTTGGCACGGCACCCAGTGCGCCAATGACCACTGGGACCATTTGCACTGGTTGATGCCAGAGTTTTTGCAATTCGATTTTGAGGTCTTGATAGTGGCTGAGTTTTTCCTGTTGTTTTTCCTCAATGCGACTGTCACCCGGTATGGCGACATCAGTAATCCAGACTTTTTTCTTTTCCACATTTGTGATGTCTGGTGTATTGTGTTCCACAACTTTGTCAGTCTGGATTCGAAAGTCCCACAGTATTTTTGCATGTTCATTTTCCACGAACTTTGCAGGTTTATGATCCCACCAATTCTTTACTGCTGGCAGGTGGTACTTGTGACATAAGTTCCAGTGAATCATCTGGGCCACAGAGTTGTGTCTTTGTTTGTAGTCCAACTGTGCGACTTTCTTGCAACAGCTGAGGAGATGGTCCATGGTTTCATCAGCTTCCTTGCACAGTCTGCATTTTGGGTCATCCACTGATTTTTCAATCCTGGCCTTAATTGCATTGGTTCTGAACATGAGGAAGAACTTCCTGACTGTGAGAGCCGTTCAGCAGTGGAACTCTCTGCCCCAGAGTGTGGTGGAGGCTCTTTCTTTGGAAGCTTTTAAACAGAGGCTGGATGACCATCTGTCAGGGGTGATTTGAATGCAGTATTCCTGCTTCTTGGCAGGGGGTTGGACTGGATGGCCCATGAGGTTTCTTCCAACTCTTTGATTCTATGATGGCTTGCTCCTGGGCTGCAAGAATCAGGCCTTCTGTCTCCTTCTTCAGTGTTCCATTCGTGAGCCATAACCAGGTCTTCTTCTTGTCAACTTTTCCTTCAATCTTCTCAAGGAACTGCCCATGCAAGGCTTTGTTGTGCTAGCTGTCAGCTCTGGTTTGGAGTGCAGTTTTCTTGTACTGGTTCTTTGTCTGCTGTGCTTTGAGACCTTTCCGATTATTGACTTCAATTAAAGCAGGTTCTTGGCTTTCCTTGACATATTCTGCCAGGGCGTGTTTTTCTTCTTCAGCTGCTTGTTTTACTTGTAAAAGTCTTCTGCCACCAAACTTTCTAGGCAGATAGAGCCGGTCAACATCACTGCGAGGATGTAATGAATTATGAATGGTCATGAGTTTTCTTGTTTTTCTGTCCAAATTATCCAGTTCTGCCTGAGTCCACTTTATGATGCCAGCAGTATATCTTTATTATTATTATTATTACAATATATAGTTATGTCCTTCAAAAATGATAGCGGAAGGAATTTTTAGAAATAAGGAAAAGGGGAGCCATTGCTACTTAAACAAGGAGAGCCATACCTTCTGTGGTTGGCTTAGGTGGTGATGAATTTTAATTGTGTTCCGACCCTTTGCTTCCAAAAACACTGATGTAGGAATGAGAAATTGGGTATTAAAGTGGAAAAATAAGGGACTCAAAATATTCAGGCTTGTGGAAGGAGGGCTGCTGTCACAAGCACTTCCGTTCAGAGCGCAATTTGCGGTAGCTTATTTTTTCCACTTAAATTCCCATACTTCGCATGCCTTACTTAACACTCTGTCGCTTTATGTTACCAAGCGAATTATAGGCTGAAACCAGCATCTTATATGTTCACAATGCCATGCAAGAATGCTTAGTCTAGCACCATTTTTAAATCAAAGTATCTGAGTGTGAGTATATCTGTAATGGGTTCTTTTCCATGACATTTTTAGGAGAGAAAGCATGGGGGGAAACCCATGCTTTGAAATTTATCCCATGAAATATAGTGATGCCATGTTGTCAAAGGTGTGCGAAAAGTAGTAGTAGTAATATTGTCGGTCCTCTACATTTATTGGGTTATTTTCTGTGGATTATGTTGATTAATATCTTTCTAGAAATCTCTAGGTTTTCCAGAGTGATTATGTGGACGCTGAATTGCATTGGAGGACCTATAGATTCCTAGAAAAATGATCTCTCAAGTAAAAAAAATATCTTTTTGATTCACACTTTCCCCATTTTTGCAGGCATCCAATGACCTACATCAAGCAAATGTGGCTGTCTGACTGTACAAAAGTACCTAACACTACTGTAATCTGGCAAGGAAAAGCAACAAATACCTGATACTTAACTACAATGTTCCACATATATAGACGAGACTGGATATAACATGGTCGGGAATCATACAGCATTCCAGATGTTGATGAATTGCAACTCCTAGCACTTCCTCACAATTTGCTATTTTATTTATTTATTTACTGTATTTGTATACCGCCTTTTTCAGCCTATTGGCGACTCAAGGTGGTTCCCAACAAAACAGTATACATAATATCATAATAAAGATTAAAACATTAAAACAGTATAAAACACAACACAACAAAGGCAATAAAAAACAACATCATTAGCATCTCCTTATTATCAAGCATTGTCCAGTTCCATCGTTGGGATTTATGGTCCAACACTGGAAAGGCCACATGATATTTATCCCCATTATGCAGATTGTAAGTTGTCACATACTTGTCGCTATCTGCATTGCAATAAAAATGGATCTAGCACTGGGATTGTGGCGCAGCTGGCTGAGTGTCAGCTGCATTAAGATCACTCTGACCAAAAGGTCATGAGTTCGAAGCCAGCCCGGGTTGGAGTTGGTTTCCAACCAATTGTGTGTAGCCTGTTGTCGACCTTCGCAACCTGAAAGACAGTTGCATCTGTCAAGAAGGAAAATTAGGTACCACCTTAAAGTTTGGGGAGGCTAAATTAACTGATTTATGAGGCCATAAAGAAGACTCCAGCAGGGAAGCATGCGGGGAATGCGGAAGTGCTTCATCAGCGTCGCAGATGGACGATGAAAGCGGCAGTTAAATAGTCTCTGTGTATGTCAGTATATGTTTGTATGTCAAAAATTGGCATTGAATGTTTGCCATATATGTCTACACTGTAATCCGCCCTGAGTCCCCTGCGGGGTGAGAAGGGCAGAATATAAAAGCTGTAAGTAATAATAATAATAATAATCATCATCATCATCATCTATGCACCGCTGTCCAACTTTATGCATAAAACCTTATTGTTTTGTGGTTCTTTGTAAAACAAGGCCATTCAACTCTTGCAATGTTGACACCACTTTTAAAGTGTCATGACTCAGTGCTACGGAAGTGGGGAGCTGTAGTTTTATAAAGTCTTGACACTTCTCTGCCAAAGAACCATAGAATCACAGATTGGGAAGCAACCTAATCCAACTCCCTGCCAAGAAGCAGGAAAATCATATTCAAAGCACCTTTGACAGATGACCATCCAGCCTCTGCTTAAAAGCCTCCAAATAAGGAGCCTCTGCCACTGGTGCTTCACCAAACTACAACCTATGATTCCATAGCTTGGAGCCATGGCGGTTAAAGTGGTGTCAAAACTGTCGAGGTCCTGAACCGGTGCATCAAGGTTCCTAATCTGGGAGTGGAGGTGTGTCAACCAGTTCTGGATAGGGTTACATTTCCCCTGAAAGATTGTGTTCACAGCTTTGGAGTGCTCCTGGATCCATCTCTCCAAATGTCAGCCCGAGTAGATGCAGCATCTGATTCATGAGCTGTGCCCCTTTCTAGACTCTGAGGACCTTTAGATGGCAGTGCACACACTGGAAACTTTAAGCCTGTTGTTGTTCATTCGTTCAGTCGTCTCCGACTCTTCGTGACCTCATGGACCAGTCCACGCCAGAGCTCCCTGTCGGCCGTCACCACCCCAGCTCCTTCAAGGTCAGTCCAGTCACTTCAAGGATGCCATCCATCCATCTTGCCCTTGGTCGGCCCCTCTTCCTTTTGCCTTCCACTTTCCCCAGCATAATTGTCTTCTCTAGGCTTTGCTGTCTCCTCATGATGTGGCCCAAGTACTTCAACTTTGTCTCTAGTATCCTTCCCTCCAGTGAGCAGTCGGGCTTTATTTCCTGGAGGATGGACTGGTTGGATCTTCTCGCAGTCCAAGGCACTCTCAGAACTTTCCTCCAAC